AAACCTGTTCCCCGCTTTTTTTTTCCCAAATGATTTTGAGTTTTGTTCCACATTGTTCTCCCTGTCTATCCAGGATCTCCTACAGAGATCTTCTTCCAAGTGGTTGACATCAGATTGTTTTTTCTTCCTCATTCCTCTCTTACCTCTCCCTTTCAGGTTGCCACTAAGTGGGAAAACATTACCTCCTTACTGATTGATGACTTCATAGGAACTGGAACTGAGCAAGTGCTGCTACTTTTGAAGAGCCCTTTGAAGTCTAGTTGCCTCTCTTCCTTTAAGATAACCAATCTTATGGACATAAACTATTCAGTAAGGTCTATTTACTGTTTACACATTAAGAATGATTTTAGAAAATATAAGCATGTAAAGCATTTGAGCCACTATTCAAAGGTTTGTCATTTCATACTGAAACTTTTTGAATTTTAAAAATACTTAGCATGTATCTTTTAGCTATGTACATTGTATTTCCTTTCAACAAATGTTAAACAAACTGGCTTTATTGGTTTCGATATATGTAATATAGTTTATCTGGTGATCACTAAAGTAACCAAAATAGTGAAACTTTATTGTTGCTTCTGAAAACCATATTTTTACCAATAAACATAATATTGGATTAATTTAAATTATGGAATAAACTGGAGAGAAGCTGCCTTTATTAAAAGAAGTAAGAATTGATAATATCTTGAGGTCTTGTACATAATGGAAAGAAATAGCCCGGAAGTTTCAGATATATACAGACTCTCTCTAAGTTTTTCTCATTTGTAAAGTGAGGATAATTCTTTCTTTCACCAATTATGGGATTTTGTGAAAGCCCAGTGAGCTGATACTTTATGAACCAGTATACAAGTGGTAGGTGGTAATAGTAGTCATTATCATCATTTTTTTCTAGGGACAAGAAGATGATGGGGAAAAAATAGACATAATTTGCCTTTTGTAAAATAGTGTATAACATGGAAAATTGCCCTTTAACTGGATAAAATTTAGTTGTATTTTGTTAATGATATGACTTTTCAGATTATTTCAAAATGTATTTTATGTTTGTTTATTTTATTAGAGTGATATATTGGATGACAATGAAGATATTTTAATTGAAGACAGTGAAAAGAATTCTCAGTTGCTGATTCCAGTTCTGGAAAAAAGATTGAAAGTTAGTGTTTGCCCCCTCCCCTTTTTTTTAATAGAGCTATTTTAAAGAAAGTAAAGAATATTGAAAGAAATGTCCCTTAAGTATAAGCAACTCAGTGATCAGATACAACAATGGTATTTCAAAAGATCTTTGTTTTTTATGGTATCTATATAAAAATGATTATGCTGTTACTTATAAACGTGTCATCCTAAAATGATACCTTTTTGTAGTAAGATTGTATAAATTTAAGAAGCCTCATAAGGTATAAGAAACTCAATTTTGAAAACATTGCTTCTTGTCTGTAAGATCCATATACCATGGTATTTCTTTTAGAGAGGTAGGAAAGATGATGAGTCATTAACCAACCCTCAATCTTTCCATAAAAATACTCCCTAACAAAGTTTTTTGAGGTTTTCCAGACATGTGAAGGTAATGCACATCACTGCAACTATTCTGGCTTTGTCCAGAAATAGTAAAGAAAACAATGGATGCCTCTGATTCCACTACTTATATTTATAGCCAGATTTGACATTGGGGCATGGATGTTCTTGCCCTTATTTATGACTGTATGCAAATTGACCTGGAAATGTGAATATAAGATGCATGTTTTTCATAACCTGCCTTTTTCATATGTAACATTATTAGATACACAGAAGGTTTGAGAAAATAGTACAGTGGTTACCAGTATCGTCCCCATGGGGATTCATGGCATTTTTTTTAACTGTACACTGTTCTGTGTGTATGATGTTGTTAGTTGCCATTGACTTGGTTTTGACTCATGGAGACCCTATGTGTACAGAGTGGAGCTGCTCCATAGAGTTTTCAAGGCTGTGACCTTTCATTATCAGATCCCCAGGCCTGTCTTCCAAGGCACCTCTGAGTGGGTTTGAACCACCAACCTTTTAGTCAGTAGTAGAGTGCTTAACCATGTCGCCACCCAGGGACAAGACAAAGAACAGAAAAGCAAGGCTTAGTTCCATCCATTCTAGTGCTCCTGTGTTTGGTTTTGGGTGGGTGGTTTGTAGAGAGGACAGTGCAAGCCTTTCATAATATGGACACAGACAAATTCTGGAAGGGTAAGCGATCTATTGGCTGTGTAAATGGGAACTGAGGGTCTTGGAAGGGAGGGTGAGGTTTACCTTTATATTGTTTAAATTTTTTTTTACCGTTTATTAATGGTTTTATTTTCATAATTTTATAGTAAAACCTTACAATATGGATAATTTAACTCATCTCATGATGCACAGCTTCGTGCTGGAGTTGGGCTATGATGAGGAGCAGAGGAAGGAAGAGCACCCATAAGCATTTCTGTTGGGTGCAGTTTTGATCTGCCCACATAGTCCTCTCTTCCACTACCTCTTCCTCCGGTAGACTCAGATTGGTTGCCTACCTCTTAGGGGTACAATTCCCTCCCCCGAAGTCATGAATTACTCAGTGAATGAGTGATGGAATGTGAATGATGTAGAGCCCACAGAACTAGGTCAACATATTAAATTTTAAAATGTCAGCTAGACACTTTACATACTTTGTGCAATGGGACAAGATATGCAGCTAATTCAGTCCTTACCCCTCCAACTTGTAGTCATTGGGTACAAGAAAAAGAATGGACCTGCCTTTAAAAAAAAAAAAAAGCAACTTAAGAGAAACGCATCCAGAAAATAAATGCATTTTGCTTTTTACTTCTAGAAAAATCTGCTGTATTGAAAACTGGATTAATAAGTAAGCATTCTCAGGTCTCTGTCGGAAATGAAACAACTTCCATCAGTTTTATGGTGTGGCTCTTAGATTTTCAACAGCAAAATTTATTTCATAAAGGTTTTTATCTTTAGTGCTGAGATGTATTTATCTGGTCAGATAAAAAGAATGGATTGCTCAGTGCCTAGTGCAGAGCCATTTTTTTTTCAGCAGTTAGGAGCCAATCCTAGTCTTGAGGTTATTAGCACAAAAATAATGTATGAATTTTAGGTCTATTATGCATTATCTTTAAAATTTTGCTATAAAGATTGATGGTGAACCAAAGATTTTGAACAGTATGAAACTAAAAGTGTTCCTTTCTATTCATGACAATGTCTCTGCATTTGTGGATACTTTTGGATGCAGACCTTATTTCAGTAACAGGAAGAACAGTTTTCTTGTGAAGTGGAAGTGTTGCTCAGCCTTGACTTTATTCATGTTGACTCTGAGTTACCAAATAACTCATTGACGAAACTGATGCTGAAACAATACACTGGCATTTGCTCAGTGCATCATGTATACTCTGCATTGCAAACAGTTATTTGCTCTATTATTTTCATTGAAAGAAAAACATTAGTTTTTTTTTTTTGTAATGAGAGACTTAAAGCTTAGAACAGTTTCGCTCTGAGAATTATTCTCTGCATTTCTATAGAAAAGTGTATTGATACACCACAGTTGGAGAAGAAAGTACTTCATGAATGAATGGTTTGACAGTTTTCATTTGAAATTGTCTCTGGTGATGATTTTTCTTTCTACTTTACAGATTGGTTTGGCTTCTGTTCAGGATTTAAAGCAGCATCTCTTGCTTAAGGAAAAAGTGATTTCAAAATCCTACCAAGCTTTAGTCAACCTGATTCAAGGGAGAACTTATGAGACACCAAGTCCAGAGGAGGTAAAATTCATCATCTGACCACATTCTCATTTTAGGAGTTGAAAATCTGCAAGTTATTGAAGAGTTACTTAAATTGGGATATATAGAAAATGCTGCTCAGTGGATCAAGAAGAAAATTGGCAAGGATTATAATTTATAACATATAATGTATGGCCTTGTGTAGTATTTGATTAAGGAGCCAGTATTTTACCAATTTGCAAATGATTCTAAAATATTAAAGTCTCAGTTATCAGGAACTTTGAGGAAGATAAATCCTTTTGTCTAAAAAAGAAATTTAACTATTAAACTTTTTATCTGTATGGATAGTATAGAAATTACGCTTAAATGAGTCATTTCCGACTCCTAACTTCTCAACCAGCTTCTACTGATCGTTGGCTGCCCCTGTATTGATGATGCCGTGCCATCATCTGTGGACTAGTTTTCAGTCTGTTGTATTGTTCAATTCTAAGGATATTTATTTTTGTATTAAATGTCCCTAAATTACTAGGCTTTTTTCATCTTTATAGCTCCTTTTTTTATAATTTTACTCTCTTTTTCCTTGTGGTTAACCATCTGATGGAACCTCTTTGGGTACCTTGCAATTACTTCTGCCAGTTGAGCAATATAGAAAATTAGCAAAAACTGTTCAGACTTTATAAAAAGTAGCATCTATGTCCATCAGTAAAGTAGCATCTATATACATCAGTAAGGAGCCCTGGTGGCCCATTGGTTAAATGCTCAACCAGAGGTGAGCAGTTTGAACTCAGCAGCCACACCACAGGAGAAAGATGTGCCAGTCTGCTGTCATAAAGATGACAGCCTTGGAACCCTAGGGGACAGTTCTACTCTGTCCTATAGAGTTGCTATCACTTTCTCGACAGGCAACGAGTTTTTTTGTTTTGTTTTACATACATTAGTAGTTCCATTTTGAGAAAGACACAGCATAGCAAAATGCAAAATGAATCAAGAAAAGCTGGAGGGAGAGATGCTTAATGTTACGTTTTATTCTCTCCAGTCATGTCAGTGCCCAGCTCTGGCTCTCTTCTAGATTAACCATTCTTCTAATGGTCTTAACCTGGTACTTGTATTTAAGTCTAGTAATATGAGGTTTTATGTAAAACCAAGGAGTTCTGGTAGTGTAGTGCCTAAAGCATTTGACTGCTGACCAGAAGGCTG